GCAGTGGTGTCCCCAAGCTGTGCCTTTTAATTCGAGAAAGTCTGCTCATGCTGTGTGTAATGCAACCTCATTGTGTTCATTGAGTTGAAGCCAAAATTTCCTCAGACTTCCAAAAATGTCTGCTTAAATTTGCCACTTCCTATTCTGAATTCTAAAAGCATCTTTATGTGGTTTATCTTCCTTTACTTCTATTTGTCCTCTCTACTATTTGCAGTCCCAAGATGGTTCTGGTTGAAGAGAAGATACTATTTGTAAATATCTGAGTTACAATGGATCCAAAGTGAAAAAGGGGTGGGGATGGGGTTTAAATGTTTCTGTTCCTTATCAGTCAGGTAACTGATTCACCACACCAACTCCTTGTCTTTGTCACCCATCTGAATCCAAACACTGCTTTGTAAACTTTTCTCTGTTCAGACTTTGGAAGCATCTCCTGTTATGGTGAAGCTATCAACTTTGTTCATTGTTTGTTTCCAGGTTTCATGCAAGAAGAACGCCATGCAATTCTCTGGAAAAGCTGGCATTAGAAGTGACTTACAGCTCACAGAAGATGGATATTTTGTATTTGAAGAGCACCTTTGAGGTGAAACCTTCCAACTGCTTTACACGTGGATGAATGCCTGATCCCCACCCAAGAGACAGTTCATGTTTCATTCCCATATTAGAGATGGAGACACTGAGAATAAGGTAGAATAATCCCGATGGCTCCCAGCACCTGGAGCACAACTAGCAAGCTATTGTGCCAACATCCTCTCTTCTTGAGCAGCAGTTTAGCGCCTTAGCTCCAGGGTTTCCCTTACATTACTTCAGCATTAGCAGACTTAGGTTTTCTACCCAGGCTAGAAAAACTATAAGAGATACCATATTTTCTTTAGAACACACAGTTGAACATATCTGTAGATTTGTCAGTCTGTATTCGCTGGTCTAAAATGTCCTAAAATAATCTCAGAACAGCAGAGGAGAAATCAGCTGCTTACTTCTGCTGCTCCAGCCATTCTGAGAGATCCCTGAACTGGAATTTTGGATTCTTTTAAAAAAAAATAAAGAAGCTACTATAGAGGAGAGGAGTTCTATATCCAAAAGGATCTCAAAAATTGGCATGAGGATTTCACCTCTTCTGGGGTCCTTGGTGTTCTCCTTTTGTTTGGTTGTTTTCTTGCAGATGTTTCATTACCCAAGTAAGTATTATAGCAATAGCAATAGCAGTTAGACTTATATACCGCTTCATAGGGCTTTCAGCCCTCTCTAAGCGGTTTANGTGGACTTCAACTCCCAGAATTCTCCAGCCAGCAGAGCTGGAGAATTCTGGGAGTTGAAGTCCTCAAGTCTTAAAGTTGCCAAGTTTGGGAACCACTGGTCTACACAATCCATGCCAATGAATTGGCTGTTGAGAAAGTCTTCTTTTTCAAAAGTTGCCAGCTTGGCTTTTCTCCAAAGATTGGTAGAATTGCTTTTGCAACTATCTGGGTCCTTGCCAAGCCTAAGGGGGTTGGATTCTTAGAATTTGTTTCTAAATCTGAGTACTCTTTGGCTGCTACAGTATTGGAATTTCCCAGCTGTTGGCTTTTGGTAAAAGTCCACTGAAGGGGATTTCTAATAAGCTACAAATCCTTGAAAAGAAAGGAAGGTGGATAGAAATTGCCACTCCTTGGTTCATATTAATGGCATAATTTAACATCAATTTTAAAAGAAAAGCTATGAGCTTGACATAGAAGGTATTGGACTTGTTTCACCTGCTAAACCTGTTGGGTTTCTATTGAACGTGTTTAGATGGCTTCTAATCTGTCTCAAATATAGTTGAAGAGTTAAAAGTATTCATTTTTTGTTTTGTTTTTGCAGCTCAGTTATATTTCTGTGGCTCACATATATATGTATAGGTATATTGATCATAATTCTGCTTTAAGCTTATAATGAGTCTGAAGGGCCAATTGAAAGAATAGTGGAGCCACACTGTTGGTACAAATTCTGGAAGCTGCATGGTTTTCCACTAGACCTGCATTGTAGGCAGATGTCTGCAAGTCAAAAGTCTTCATGTAGCAGTCAGTGGGGAAACCACATAACTATATATAGCCAAATAATGTCCATGTGAATAAAATCATTGATTACAGATAATTTTCCCAGGTAAAATCCAAGTTATCTCAAGCTGAAAAGAATTTTCCACTCCTCCTTCTCCTCCTCCTCTCCCTAATAGTTTAATAAGATGCAAGTGTTTTCCCCTTCCATTCTATTTCTTTGAGGGCCACCTGTGAGAGGCAGGTGTACATATTGAGTTCTTGGCTTTCAAATCTTGGCTTGTTAGAATGAAAAAAAGCCAGAATTCCCCAGCTCCACATCACATTAAAACACGCTAAGAAGAAATTATGCTGTGGTTTATTTCATCCTTTGCAATGGCAGCAGAAGCAAAGTTGGAGTGATTCAACTCATTCACACGAAGACAGAATTCTTCAGAAGGCACTGTGAAAAAAGCTAACTACTATATAAACTAGATTAAACCAGTAAAAATGTACTTTTATTTTGCCATTTTTACCCCCCAATCCCTTAAGGATTTTAAGTGACCCACAACTGAGTCCCCTTCGGGGAAAAGGACGGCATATAAATAAAATAAATTCAATATAAATGAAATAAATTCAATTCAACTTTCTTCACTGCTTCTTCCTCTCAACACTGTTGAGAAACATTAAGTCAATCAGTGTCCCTTTAGCTGATCAATCATCAAGCTGCAAAGACTGTGTTCAGTCAGTGCCTCAGCTCCCCTTTTCTTTTTTATTTGCATCAGTGGTGGGTTGTTTATCCCGTTCCAACCGGTTCGGTTGGAATGGGGCCGGCAGCGTCCTCATGCACGCGTGCAGTTCACGCATGCATCGTAGCGCCTGCGCAATGCTCCAGCTGCTTGCGGAGAATCGCGCAGGCGCTATATGTGCCATGCGCCTGCATGGAAGCGCAGAAGCCTTCAAAGACCGGTAAGGAGGGTGGGCGG